CATGTAGGGCTTTAAAGGTGATAATCAGCACTTGAAGCGTGTTCGGAGACCAATAGGGAGCCAGTGCAGCTCGCGGATGATATGTGTAACATGGGTGTATCTAGGTACACCTGATATCGCTCGTGTGGCTGCATTCTGGACCAATTGTAGTCTTCGAACACTTTTCAGGGGCAGCCCCATGTAGAGCATGTTACAGTAATCAAGCCTTGAGGTGACGAGGGCGTGAGTGACCATTTGAAGTGCCTCCCGGTCCAGGTAGGGCCGCAACTTGTGCACCAGGCGAACCTGGGCAAAAGCCCCCCTGGTCACAGCTGACAGATGATGTTCTAGTGTCAGCTGCGAGTCCAGGAGGACACCCAAGTTGTGGACCCTCTCTGAGGGGTGTAAGATTTCACCCCCCAGGCTAGGGATGGAATATCTGGACTGTCCTTGGGGGGCAACATCCATAGCCACTCGGTCTTGTCAGGATTGAGTGCAAGCTTGTGTGCTAAATCTCATTGAGGTCCATCAGCAAACACTTACTCCAAATGGAACAGAAGAAATCAAATGTGCAAATTGTTTATATTTCCCTCCCTCCCTCTGATTTATTGGTTTACTAACTTTTGCCTAATTCTCGCCTATGGAATAAACCGCTAACGCTAAGCATAAACTATTAATTGCAAGCCACAACCAACTCCTTCCTTCCTCCTATTTTCCTCACAACAACCCTGTGGGGCAGTGTTTCTCAACCTTGGCAACTTGAAGATGTCCGGACTTCAACTCTCAGAATTCCCCAGCACAGCACAGCTGTGGGGGACGGGAGAGCTGGCTAAAAGTCACTTTCATCCCTAAGGCAAAACTAGAACTCGCCATCTTCTGGGGATTGGCCCAAAATCATCGAGCCAACTTTCATGCCAAAGGTGGAACTAGAATTCACAATCTTCTGGCGATTGGCCCAAAGTCACTTAGCTGGTTTTCATAGTTAAGGGGGAACTAGAATTTCCCACCTCCTGGTGATTGACCCAAAGTCACCCAGCCGGCTTTTATAACTAAGGTGGAACTAGATCTCACAATATCCTGGTGATTGGCCCAAAGTCACCCAGCTGGCTTTTATAACTAAGGTGGAACTAGAACTCACAATCTCCTGGTGATTGGTCCAAAGTCCCCCAGCCGGCCTTCATAGCTAAGTGGGAACTAGAACTCACTGTCCCCTGGTTTCTAACCTGATGTGTTAACCATTGAGAGCCTTCCTCCTCCTTGTTACAACCAGTTTGTGAGGTGTTTTTAACCCTCCCTTGTGTGTGAATCCTTTCCAAGTGGACTCGCCATGAATTCTTTACGGCTACTCCCCCCCCCCCCCCGGGCGTCTTCCATGGCGTTAGGCCTTGGGTCCCTCTGGCTGAGTTTGTACAACGACGAAGCCGGGAAGCTCTTCTTACTGACCGGCCTCTGTCGCCTGCCTCTCTTTAATCGCATTTTGTGGTTTACCGTATCATCCCCAACGTGGAGTAGCTGCCACTTTCGGCTTGCAGAAAGAGGAACCTGTGACCAAAGTTTATCGTCAGCCGTAACGTCTGCTTCGTTATCGGCCCCGAAACGGCAGCGGCTTCACAACAGCCAGAAGTTATGGTGGGTGGTCAGCCTTTAACGACCCCGCCGTCTCTCTCTCTTTCCCAGAACCGGGCAGTCGGGCGTCCCAAGGGGAAGCTGGGCCCTTCCTCAGCCGTGAAGCTCGCAGCGAACCGGACGACTGCAGGCGCGCGTCGGAGGAGGACGCGATGTCGCAAGTGCGAGGCCTGCCTGAGGACAGAGTGCGGCGAATGTCACTTCTGCAAGGACATGAAGAAGTTTGGGGGGCCTGGCCGCATGAAACAGTCCTGCATTATGAGGCAGTGCATCGCGGTAAGCGCCATTGGGGTTCGCCATTGGGTGGGAAATCGGGATCGGCTCCAGGACAGGGGAGATACGAGCTGAGCCCCTTTGCGACTTGTGGACTTCAGCTCCCAGAATTCCTCAGTTAGCCATGCGGCCTGGTAGACTTCAGCTCCCAGAATTCCCCAGCCAGCCATGCGGCCTGGTGGACTTCAGCTCCCAGAATTCCCCAGCCAGCCATGCGGCCTGGTGGACTTCAACTCCCAGAATTCCTCAGTTAGCCATGCGGCCTGGTGGACTTCAACTCCCAGAATTCCTCAGTTAGCCATGCGGCCTGGTGGACTTCAACTCCCAGAATTCCTCAGTTAGCCATGCGGCCTGGTGGA